TTAAAAAAAAAAAAAAGCCTAAAGTGGAAGTGGACACTGCCTATAAGAAACAGGAAGACAGAAGAGCTGGCCTCGAGAAAGGATCACTCTACACAACTCTGGTCCCCACAGCACAGTTGGAAGCTTGAATCTCTGACACTCACTAGAGGTGATCCTTTGGTGGCCGGCTGCCAGTCTTCTTTTATACCTACTACCTCTCACCAGTACCAGCCTTCAGATCATTTCAGCAGCTGAAAGTTTATTCTTATTACTACCCATACAAATTCAAATGAGAAAGAAAAACATACATAAATGCAGCTACAGACCCCTAAAAGGAGCCTCCACTTAGCAGAACTGCAGAACAGTGAGGTAACAGTTTTAACAATGCTTACAGAACTCAAGAAAGCAGCAGAGGATATAAAACAGAAACAGAAAAAAAAAATAAAGAAAATATGAGGTAGCTACAATTAGAAATAACTAAGAAATACTGTAACTGAATTTACAAATTTCATTAACAGCCTCAATAGCAAAAAAACAGCAATGGAATGAGCTCAAAAACACAAAGTTGGAGAATATACAAATACAACAATAGAGAGGAAAAAGAATAAAAGAAAATGAAAATAGTATAAGAGTCCTTGGGACAATTTAAAAAGAAATAAAATCCATATCATGGGAGTTACAGAAGAAGAGAGAGAATGACATAAGACATTTATTTAAAGAAATAATTATTGAAAATTATCTCAATCTGGGAAACCAACAAGACATGGCAATCCAAGAGGCCCAAAGAGCTCCGACCAAAATAATACCAGACAGACATACTGTTAAAATATGAAAGTGCCGAGTCTAGTAACAACCGAGACCCAAGTCTGATGTAAAACCAAAGTGAACCTTTATTAGCTATCTCGAGCTAGGGTCCAACCCAGAGTCATCCGACGCAGTGATCCTCCTTGAGAGGGAAGGACCCCAGCTTCTTAAAGTCATGGGTTTATAAAGGCATTGTGGGAGGGGCTGGGCAGTCACAAGTCCCTGCTTGCCAGATGCCTGGTGCAGATAACAGTTAGGCCCTGGAACATTTACTCTAGGGAGAATCAAAACTTATCTTTGGGCAACAGTTTTAGCAACAGTTTTACTGGCCTTCTAGCCTTCACATTCCTCTACAATACCCCACGACCCTTTATGATAAAGATGTTGAAAGCCAACAATAAGGACAGAGTATTGAAAACATCAAGAAAGAAAAGGTGATCTATAAGGGTACACCAGTCAGACTATCCGTGGAATTTTTTTTTTTAAGATTTATTTATTTGGGCCCTCCCAGGTGACACAGTGGGTTAAAGCACAGCACTGAGGGGCTTAAGCCACTTCCCTATGAGTTCGATCCCCGCCTGCCCCGGAGGTGACCACATGGTGCAGCAGACCCCTCCTGATCCACCCACTGCTCCCCTCAACAGTGTACTTCGTCAGTTGGCCTGTTCTGCTCCCCACTCTGTCTCTGGTGAATCCTCTCACCAACCACACCTCTAGCCTGCACCGCAGTTCTGTAAGCATAAATAAATAAATCTCTAAACTCTCTAAAAGATTTATTTATTTATGCATACAGAACTGCGGTGTAGGCCAGAGGTACAGGGGCAGTGAAAGTATTCACCAGAGACAGAGTGGGGAGCAGAATAGGCAGATCGAAGAAGTATACTGCTGAGGGGAACAGCAGGCAGGTCAAGAGAGGTCTGTCACACCATGAGGCTCACCTCCAGGGCCAGGGATCGAACTAGCACTGAAGGGGCTGTGGCTAGCTTGCAATGCTGCATCCTTACCCACTGCGCCACCAGGGAAGGCCAGGACTTTTTTTTTAAGATTTATTTATTTATGTATACAGAACTGGGCTACAGGCCAGAGGTGCAGGAGTGGTGACAGAATTTGCCAGAGGCACAGCAGGGAACAGAACAGGCATATCGACCAAATACACTGCTCAGGGGAGCAGTGGGTAGGTCAGGAGAGGTCTGCCACGCCATGTGGGTCACCTCCGGGGCCAGGGATGGAACTTGCACTGAAGTGGCTGCAGTAAGCTTCACAGTGCTGCACTTGAACCTCATGCACCACCAGGGAGGACCTTGTTAGTGGACTTTTCTATAGAAACATTGCAAGCAGGAAGGCACAGGAAGGAGATAGTTAAAGAAAGATTTCCAGCCCAGAATCCTTCACCCAACAAAACTAACATTCAAGATAGAAGGAAGAGTAAGGAGTTCACTGACAAGCAAAAGCAAAACTAGAAAGAATTTATCAATACCAAGCCATGTATGAAAGAAATCTGAAAGAGGCTATTATAAAGTCACAGAACAAGGAATTCAGAGGTAACAGACACCAAAACCATTTAACATGGAGGAGGAAGAGGAAGCAACAATGGTCCATCAATACTAGTCAGAGGCCAGACTGTCCAACAGATCACTCAAATAGTCCATCATACATTAACCTCAGTAGAACCTGCAACCATAAAATAATAGAAGTAACACATAACACAATGAAACATAAACAAACAAAAAAAAAGCTAGAATAAACAAAAATTTAAAAAGGGAAGAGACACCCACCCCACCCCCACCCTCACAGCCCAGGAACACTTAAAGTTTCAATAATCACCTTAAAGTTAAAGTTAAACAGCCTAGATCCATCAGTCAAAAGATGTAGAGTGGCTAAATGGATTTCAAACAAAGTATGACCTCTGTTGTTTAGAAGAAAAACAAAAAGAAAAACAAAGAACAATAAACAAAATCCTATAGTAGGGGGAGAGTCACATTTCCTAATTTAACACAATGCATTATTTAAAATGTTTAATTTTCTATAAAAAATTACAAGAATGCAGGGCCCTCCCCAGTGGCAAATGAGTTAAAGCGCAGCACTGTGAAGCTATTCACAGCTACTGCAGCCTGAGTTCCATCCCTGCCCAAGGAGGTGACCCACATGGCATGGCAGATCTCTCCTATCCTACCCGCTACTCCCCTCAGCAGTTTATTTCAGTCAGTCTGCCTGTTCTGTTCCCCACTCTGTCTCTGGTGAATCCTCTCACCACACACCTCTGGCCTGTACCCCAGTTCTTGCACACATAAATAAAATCTTTAAAAAAAAATAGACAACACAAATTTATTTTTAAAAATTACAAGAATACAAAGAAAAACAAGAAAGTATGACTTCTGTTCACTGCTGGTAGGAGTGTGAAATGGTACAGCTACTTTGGAAAACAGTCTATCAGGTCCTAAAGAGGTTAAACAGAGCGTTACCCTTATAAGCCAGCATCCCCACTCCTCGGTATAGAGACAACAGAAGGGAAACCATACATTCACGCTGATATTCACAGTATTATTCATACTAGCTAAAAAAGCACGGACATTTGTCAACAGACAAGCATATAAACAGAAGTTGGGACAAGCATATAAACAGAACGTGCCATATCATGGCATAGCAGCCATGAAATATCAGTCATAAAAGGAGATGAAGTTCAGATACTGCCACAACACAAACCAACCTTGAAATTATTATGTCAGGTGAAAGACACCAACCATAATGGTCCTGTGTTGTATGATTCCATTTATGTGACCATCCAGAACAGTCACACAGTAGAGGAAGAAAGCAGATCAGAAGGTACGTGGGGCTGGGGAAAGCAAAGAATGGACAGTGAGTGCAAATGGGGACAAAAAACTGGGGGTGATGAAAATACACTGTAATTAAGTAGTAGCATTAGTTGTACAACTCTGTGAATATCCTCAAGCCCACCAAATTGTAACCTAGAAAAGATATATTTTGTGATGTGTATATATTATCTCAATTCAGTGCAAAGATTTGGAGCGGGACAGAAGAAACAAGCTTAAGTCCTTGAAGATAAACGGTGGCTGAGAACAAAGCAACTGAGAAAAAGTGATGCAGAGATCAAAGGAGAACAGACCCAGGGGGTCCCAGAAGCAACTGAAGAGCTAGGTCAGAAGTGCTCTAAAGATTTAGCACTATGTGCCCCTGGGACTGGCTTTCGCAGACTTTTCTGAAAGACAATTGGAAAGAAAGAGTGGGGAGGACTGGGTGAGGGCAGTGAGCATATGAAGAGCATATTGTGTGAGTGTGGAAACCATGAACATGACACAGGGAAGGCTATTTTGGGGGATACTCACATGTGTGGGGTACCTTGGCCGCCCTCCAGTAGCAATGATGATGTGCTCAGCTGAAAGCAGAGTCTGAGAATAAAGCAAGAAAGCTGCGCTTAAACTGGTGTACCCCTGAGGAGGGCTGACATGCTTGCAGGTGATCTTGATCAGAGACCCAGGCTTCCTCCTTAAAGTCTCTGCCTGACAGTGTGGAGCCTCCAGCTGGCAGCTCAGAGGTCCCTTGGAACTGAGAGCTCATCAAGATTCTTCCAGGCAGGCAAAAGCAGACAAGAGTTTCTCCCTCCAAGCACATCACAGTTCCCAAAGCAGCCCACACACATCTCTTCAAATCCAAACACAACGCTGTAAAGCTGTAGGCACCGCCCTGCTGCCTATGCAGCAGGCATCCTGGCACAATATGCATCTCATGGACGTGTTTCATCATTCACAAAGAATTATGACCAACCTCAGGGAATCCACCATGTCAATTCCAGCAGCATTCATTGCTGAGAATAGCACTGAGGCCGAACCCCACTGGATTTGGCACATCGGAGGTCTGCGGAACACCTGGGGCAGCACAGGGGAACCACTGGCACAAGTGGGCACTTACCTCTTTTCCATCTTTTGTGACACCACAGACTGTGTGCTCATTGACAAAGCTGGCCTTGATGTTAAAGTACTTGACTTTTCTGAAAAATAAAAATATTTTTCAAACATTTCTTCCTCAAATTAACTATCACCTATAGGGCAAAATAGGGATAACTGTGCAGACTGCTAAAAGGTGAGCCTGGGTCCATTACCCACAGTTCAGGGGGTGTCAAGTCAAACACCCCAGGAAGCAAGCCAGGGACCGAGGGAGTTCAGTGTCCCCAGGCATTGCGTGGAATAGTGATCACAGTTTCTAGGCAGGATTAAAAGTCAGCTTAGCACTCTTGGTGTGTAATGACAGAAGTAGCTCAGAATGGGACCCTCCTCGGGGTCAGTTCTTGTCACCTGATCATGTTCTACCAGTAAGAGGAGGTCCCCACAAACACCCAATTACTCCCCCTACATCCAAACCGCAAATTTCTCCTACACAAGGGAGGGGAATGGCTTTCACAGAGAAGATCTGAAAGACAACTGGAAAAGGGACTACAAGAATCACTCTCCCACCGCCCTTGAGGGACAGTGATGACAGGTAAGAGGCTATATCAGAGCCAACAGGGCGGTCAGGAGTGTGGTATACAGAAACAACTCACACCCACTAATGACAAGACTTGACTGCCTTGTGAACTTGCATTCTCCCTACCCCCAGCCATGTCCCTTTAAGCACCTAACTCACCCCCACAACTCAGCACTGTGGATACACACACACAAGCTCCATGCCAGCCCCTTCTATGGGTGGCTCTATAGCCAGCCTGGTGTTAAGGACTTTTCTATGCCAGCTTCAAGAAATGACTTCTGCTTAAAGAATGGCACAGCATGCAGCAGAGAAATAATAAATACACCATGGCTGAGCTCCTGGGACATGGCTGGAGAAGCCAAGGTGGGTAGGTTGAGTTGGCTCAGTTTTTTGGGGTTTCGTGGACACAAATTAGCTGCTGAGTGCAAAGTCCCAAAGCCCCTTAGGGTCAATCTCAGGTCCTCAGATGAAAGCCACCAGACTTCTGAGGGAGTGATGTCCCTTTCCACAACCTCTATGGACACAGCACAGAGCTACAGGGAGCAAAGCCTAGCTGAACAGAGTGTGGCTTCAGGCAGTCTCCTTCTGGCAGTCACTCCTCAAGGAGGGTGCTACAGTGGCAGGAAGTGTTGGCATTTAGGTTGAGGGACACCAAGGGGTTGATAGGATCTGGAGGTTCAGCCTAGAATGATCATGACATCTGTTTCAGCAGATAATGCCCGGTTCCTTCATCCATGCTTGGAGAGCTGGAAGTACCTGGTGAAGTGTGGGGCTCATGGTGTGGGAGCTGGGAGATAAGAGAGGTAAAGTACAGGATCCCCACTGCTCCAGCAACAAGGGGCTCAGATGGCTCCTTCTATATAACTGATGTAGGCCCAAGTAGAAGAAAGGCTGCCCCTCTCAAGGGAGGAGTCAGTCACCAAGATGGCCTTCATCATGCTCCATGCCCTGACTTTTCTGCTGCATGGCCACTGCCCTGTCCACGCCTCCACCCAGCGCAGTCCTGGGCTCCAGCCATTCCACCAATGTGCCCCTAACTCCTTACTACGCTGCAGGTATGAGCTTTTAGGACATTACCACCATCTACTGCTTGTCTGCATACTCTTACCCTACAAACAAGGAGCTCTCATCTTATTTCTGCTGTGCTGTCAGCGACTAAGCACTTGTCATGGTATGAAATGACCCAAAGAAGGCCCGGAGGACCTAGAAGTCTGCAATACCTGTCCCGTAACTGGACCAGGTGTCCCCAGTTCAGGGACTTCACGTGATTTTGAACAGCTTCTGCCATTTTTCTCCTGTTAACACATAAAACAGAATGTTTAAAATACAAGAAAAGTGTTAGCTGTAGAGTTGCACAATAGACCATGGACAGAAATACAAATAAACAAAGGTGTTTTAAAGGTGATAAAATGTGACATTCATCCTTATAGCCACAGTCTCTGTCCCTGGTTTGGAGCTGTGGATCTTTGGACTCAAGCAAAATGGGAGCTTTGGTCCACAGCCATTAGGACACAGCCCTGCATCTGACACATCTGAGGTCCATGAAGGGGTGTGTGTGTGGATGAGTTATGCTGACCCCGAGTAAGCTTCCCACTCTACCACTGGCTTTGGAGCTGAGTTATTTGGGAGGGCTGTTCTATGTACCCTAGGGATCAGCAGCATCTCAGGGCTCTCCCCAGTAGATGCCGTATACCGATCCTCACAGTGATGATCACCAAAACAGACTCCAAACTTCACAGAATTGTGCCTGGAAGAAGTCCTGTCTGCAGCACACTTTCCTGAGGATTAAATGAATAAACTTCCTTCTCCATAGCAGAAAAGCCCTAGGAACCAGGAAGCTCCTCACCAGTCATGCTGAACAGGCTGGATCACCTCCCAGCCATAGTGGGGGGCATCTTGGATCATGCCACCCAACAGTGCCGCCTGATGCATCAGCTTCTTGGGGATGCAGCCAACATTCACACAGGTGCCACCAAGACCCCACCTGGTGCCTGGCACATAAGGGGAGAACACATTTAAATATATATTCAGATAATTCCTGAAGGTTTTCCTATTCTATAGTCATTTAGAATTTCTTTATCACTGGTAACTCATTTGTCATTTGGCCCAGGTAAACCCTGCCACATGAGTCTAATTAAACAATTTAAAGCACACTTAAATCCTCATTTAGTGCAAATAGGTTTTGGAAACTGTAAGTGAAATGACATATAAGTCCTCAAGCAACCATCATTTAGTTTAATGTTGGTTGGGGTTTCTTTTTCTCATGTACATTAATGACATTATTCAAGAACTTACTATAATGGAAGTTTACACAAGAAACAGGACACTCTGGAGCCTCTGGACACCAGGGGTAGAATGTTTCTGCACTCAGCTGTCCTCTACATGTGAACTGGTTCCCCAACCCATCCCTTTCCCAGGACACAGGGCACCACCCACCTCGAGGGGAAGGGTCCACATAGTCGAGCACTGCCACCTTCTTTCCCAGTTGAGCAGCTGAAACAATAAGAGGAGAGGGTAGGTGGGCATATCCAAGGAGCTACATTGGGACTGGAGACTTCAAGGCCCAGAAGCGGATAGAAAAAGATCTGGGCTCATGGTGGCCCACCAGGCCTGAACATGTGTTTCCCTATTGCTTACTGCCATCCAGATGTGCTGCCCAGAGGTGGGAATTCTCTGGCCTCTTCTTAGACTGCAGTCTTCACATGGCAACAATGAGTCCAGCCCTTCCACCCTACCCACCAGGTCTAGACATTCAGCCCAAACCCAGTGCCCACAAGTATGCTGGAAGGGATTACAGGAGTGCCCACTCCCTGGGAAAAGACCCATGACTCGGAAGCCCCCTGAAAACCTACTCTCTCTCTAGGCTTACCTACTCTATTTCCCACCTGATACCACAAGGGTCCTCCATCTGAGAGCAGGAGCTCTCATTAGACGTCCCCTAGTGGCCAATTACTGCTTCACACCCAAGGTAAGAACAAGCTCAAAAGTCAGTATGTTTTTAAACAAGGACACAAATCAAATTTACAGAAATGAAACTAGCAAGAGAAATTCACCTAATGGAAGCTGTGATAGATTACACATTACCGAATCTTTATTAGTGATTTTGAAGCAAAGGAATGGAAACCATCCATAATGAAAAGAGTGGATTCAGCCACCAGCACCTTGGGAACAGATGCAGGTCCAGTCTAGGTAATACAGAGATCTTCCCTTTGCTGGTATCCCCCAGAAATTTTCCTGAACCCTTGGTTCAGCCATAGCACCTCAGGAACCAGCATACAACCCAGTCCTGGTCATGCAAAAATCTGCCCAACAGCAGTTTCCCTCTGTTCCGTGTCCCATCCCAGGGTGGGGAGGGTAGAGACATGCCTAGCAGAGGCAAAACCCAGCAGAGGTCCTAGAAAAAAAAGGGGAGATAGAATAATACTATGAATGGTAGCATAAGTCCAAAGGGCCATATAACACCACATATAGGAAACATAGCCTCAAAATTCAACCACAAAGACATAGAAGACCTGTTCTTCCTATCAGATAGAGAATTCAAACATGCCATAATAAATAAATTTGAAAAACTCAAAGAAGAACTCAGAGTAGATGCAGGAAAGCGGATTAAGAATATACAAGGACATTGAATGTCCTCAGAAACAAAATCAACAAAGAGAAGATTGAAAATGATACCTTAAAGAAGGAAATGACAGGATGAAAAAGAAAAAATTAAAAGAGATGAAAAATACTATAAAAAGTTATAGAAGTAGAATAAAAAAATTTAAGGGCAAATCAGTGAACATGAAGATACAAATTTACCAAAAAAAGCAAGAAAGAAACATTTCATGGTGTCATATCTGACACCATGAGGAAAGGCAATAAGGCAATATAAGAATAATGGGTTTCCCAGAAGGGGAAGAGAAACAAAAGGGAAAAAAAAATTAAAGATGTAATAGAAGAAAAGTTCTCAAACCTGGTTAAAGGAAATTAAGACACAAACCCAGAGACTTAAAAGAACACCAGGGCACCTAAATAAAAAGAGACCGACATCAAGATAAATAGTGATGAAACTTCCAAGAGTTCCAGACAAAAAATTATTATTGAAGTTGCTGAAGGGGAAGAAACAGATAATGTATAAAGGAATACAGCTCAGGCTAACATCAGACTTCTCAGAAGAAACACTGCAAACAAGGAGAAAATAGAAATATGTGACAATAAACTGCCAACCAAGAACACCACATAGGGAAATACAAAAACATAATCACACACACACACATACACATATGTACATAAATGCATATGTGACATAAAACACTGTGTATAGCTAACAAATCTCTGGAATCCAAGCACAAAGACTGGAAGATCTGTTCTTCCTATCAGATACAGAATTCAAACATGCATTTAAAAAATTTTCTAATAAATTAAGTAGATGCAAGAAAGGAAATTAAGGATATACTTTAAAAAAAAGATTTATTTTATTTATACATACAAGAGCTGGGGTGTAGGCCAGAGGCGTGTATGGGGGTATGGTTTAAGAGGATTCACAGAGACAGAGTGGGGAGTACAACAGGCAGAATGTCTAAAATACACTGCTGAGGGGAGCAGTGAGTGAGACTTCACGGGTTAGCTCCCTGGCCAGGGATTAAACTCATGCTACAATGGCTGCAGATACCTTCATAATGCTGAGACTTAACCCCCAGGGCCACCTTGGATGCCCCATCAAGGATATACTTAAGCCCCGGTATATGCTTATACCATGCGAGGCTCTCCTTTAGATATGAGGGAGAAATAACATATTTTCAGACAAACTATAGGAGTTGTAAAAACTAATCCCCTTTTCAAGAAATATTGAAAATAACTGCAGTATCTCAGCCAAATAGAGAAACATACATAAAGAACCGAAAAAGGTTAATAGATATAACCACAAAACTAGGACAAATGTAATCTCTCTATATGCTAATGGAATAAACTCACCAGTTGAAAGACACACAGATTCTGGATGGATTAGGGAACTCAGCTGTCTCTAGCTCAAGGGCTGGAAAATAATTCCACAAGTGAATGAGACCCAAAGAAATGCTGGGACAGTCATATAAGTTCAGATAAAATAGATATCCAGTTAAAAAAGGTAACAATAGATGGGGATCTTCACTTCATAATGATTAAGCCATTACAGTCATCAACATTTAGTCACTAAATGAAGGGGCACCAAAATTCCACCTACCAACAACAAATAGTGCTAAAAACAGATTTGTGGTAGGAGGTGCCAACACCCCCTCTCACCAATGGACAAATGTACAAAACACAAAATCAAGAGGGACATAATAGCTTTAAACAAAGAATAGAACAAATGGACCTACAACACCCTCTAAAATGTGCACATAGGGCACATATTGGGCCACAAGAGAAATATCAATAAATTCATGAAGACTGAAATCACACCAAATACCTTCTCAGATCATAAAGGTACCAAATTAGTAATTAACTACAAGAAATCAGGGAAAAATTCTATTAGTAGCGAAAAACGCTCTACTAAAAAAACCCCACTGGATCAATGATGAAATCAAAGAATAAATTTAAAAATACCTCAAGACAAAGAACAATGGGAACACAATTTTCTACATCATATAGGACATAGCAAAAGTAGTACTGAGAGAGAAGTACATAGCAATATAGGCCCACATCAAAAACAAGAAAAGAGCTCAAATAAATAGCATGGCTCTCATTTCAATGAACTAGAAAAAGAACAAAAGCACCCAAAGCCAGTAGAAGGAAGGAAATAGCAAAAATCAGAGCAAAAAATGAAATAGAAATTAAAAGGACAGTCCAAAAAAAAGCAACTGCTAGGTTCTTGAAAAAATAAATAAAATTTACATTACATTCATTAAGAAAAAAGGAAGAAAACTCAATAAATCGGATCAGAAACAAAAATGAGTTGCAACATACAATGAAGAAATTCAGAAGATAGTAAGAGATTACTATGAAGATTTATATGAAAATAAATTCAACAACTTGGATGAGATGGACAAATTCTTATACTTATATAGTTATCCAAGACTGAATAGGGAAGAAGTAGAAAAATCCAAACAAACCAAAACTCCCCCACAAAACAAAAGTCCAGGACCAGATGGATTCACAAGTGAATCCTGACAAACTTTCAAAGATGAACTAGTATTTATTCTACTTAAACTCTTTTAAAAAAATTGAGAATTAGGCCTTCCCTGGTGCACAGCAGGTTAAGATGCAGCACTGCAAGCAAGCCGCATTCGGCTCACTACAAGTTCAATTCATGGGCCTGGAGGTGACCCACATGGTGCCACAGACCTCTCCTGTCTCGCCTGCTGCTCCCCACATCAATGTACTTTGTCGATCTGCCTGTTCTACTCCCCACTCTGTCTCTGGTGAATCCTCTCACCACTGCTGCACCTCTGGCCTGTAGCCGGGTTCTGTATGAATGAATAAATGAATCTAAAAAAAGGGCAGGGGACTCCCTGGTGGTACAGCAGGTTAAAGCATAGCACTGCAAGCGATCAACAGCAGCCTCAATGCTAGTTCGATCCTCTACTCTGGAGCTGACCCACATGGTGCAGCAGTCCCCTCCTGTCTTGCCCGCTGCTCCCCTCAGCAGAGTACTTTATCAGTCTGCCTGTTCTGCTCCCTGCTTCCTGCTCTGTCTCTGGTGAATCCTCTCACTACCCCCGCACCTCTGGCCTGTACCCCTGCTCTGTATGTATAAATAAATAAATCTTTAAATCTTTCTTTTTTTTCTTTTTTAAAGAAGTGACTTCATATGAAGGTGGGACCTTTACAGAGGTGGCTAAATTAAAATGAAGCCATTAATCTGGTTTTTTTTAAATAATATAATAGTTTGTTTTTACATCATTTTGTGCTTTTTTCCATCTCAGTTGTAATCCCCAGGGGCTTCCCATCACCAAATCACCCATGTGCCATCACCATAGTCCAGTGCACTTCCCACCTCCCACACCCCCGTTTTTGATCCCACTCCCCACTCTTCCCCCATAAAACGTCTCTGGTAGATAGTTGTTTATTATTATTATTATTTTTCTCCCCTGGCCCTTCATACTCCTGCTATGAGTGAAACCATCCAGTATTTCTCCTTCTATGAGTGAAACCATCCAGTATTTCTCCTTTTCTTTCTGGCTTATTTCACTAAGCATGATCCCTTCCAGCTCCATCCATGCTGCTGCAAAAAGGCATGTGCTTATCTTTTTTGATTGTTGTCCATTGTGTATGTATCACATCTTTTTAATCCAGTCTGACTAGTGTTTTTAAAAGCAGATTAGGACTCAGACAACCCTCATACAAGGACATAATGAGAAGACTATTAGCCATAGAGGAGGGTCTCTGAAAAAACAACTCTGTTGGTACCCTGGACCTCAAACTTCCAGTCTCTAGAACAGGGAGAAAAAATTGCATTTCTGCCCAGTCTGTGGTACTTCGCTATGGCTGCTCCCATTACAATAGGACAGGACCAACAGACTATTCATCATCGTGCTTATGGTGCCAGCTTCACACATCAAACCTTATGATGTTGTCCATTTTAAAATGTGTGGTTTATTGTATGTTAATTGTATTTCAAAAAAAAACTGTAAAAAGTACAGTCATCCAGGCCCTCCCTGGTGGCGCAGCAGGTTAAAGCACTGCACTAAGAAGCTTAAGCCACTTCTGCATGAGTTCGATCCCCACCTGCCCAGGAGGAGATTCACATGGCGTGGCAGACCTCTCCTGACCCGCC